TTCCCAAGTCGCTCTCTCTCTCTCTAGGGTTCGTCCCTTGGGTGTTTGGGGTCCAAAACCCAGCTCTCCCTTTCCTTTGGCTCGAATCTGCCTCAAAAACCCGATTCTGGGCGAATTACGGGCTGAATTACGGTCGTAATTCTTCCATGCCCGTATTTTGCCCAAAACACGCGTTTTGGTTAAGTTTCAGCGCACCCAAAGCTCCTCTCGGCAGTGAAAATACGGGCATGGGAGGGGAAATTACGGTCGTAATTCTCTTGCCCGTAATTCTTCCTCCGCTCCTGTTCAAAGCTTCGTTTCTCCCTCGTCCGGACTCCAAATCAGTCGTCGTTTGAACCCAGACGCTTGTAGTATCGTCCTCTTTCTTTTCATAACAAACTTCCATGATAATTTGTCCATTATATGAGGTAGAAATCCATTATTCCTCAGGTCATGCTCGTGTTTCTTCTCCCGAATTGCCAAATGATCTCCGATTGACTTGAAACTTGCACCTACGCTTCACTTTATGTGCTAGGGCCTGAAATGTGACAAAGGAACACAACCTAGCGTAAAATAGGCCAAAGAAGCGATAATGCAAGCTTAAACGATCAAGAAACAAAGGGGAAAACATGTGCAAATATCGAGTCATCAAATTCCCCCACACTTAACCGTTTGCTTGTCCCCAAGCAAACCTAACTCAAACCAATGCAGCTCTCCAGACCTCTATAGCAACATACAACTCCGATCGTCGGTAGAGGATTTCCTAGATCATATAGCAGCTTACGAGGTCAACTGGTCTTCTAAGACGTTCCCTATCTCTCTTAATGCGAGTACTAGACTCAAGCCAGGATCATGAGAAGAAGTAGAAGTAAGACAGTCAGTTCATGGATAAGGGACTCACAACATTCACAACCAATGACTCGTTGTACCGGGGTGCTCTTTCACTTCATTTCACCGTTGGAACCCCATTTTCACTTTCACTTTACTTTTGTTTACTTATTTTTTTTTTCATTCACTTAGCGGGGTTTCCAACTGCAGTCTCTTACACGGTCGACACTTATTAGTCGAGCAAGAGAAATTTCTGTACATCTGGCGCTCGCTAGAGTACTTCTTTTAAATCCTTTTCCTCAACTCGTGTGGAGGGTCAATGAAATTAAGGGGGGCCGGAAGCTCTATCCGTGCCCTTAAAAACACATCCTCAAGTAGGCAAACCGTTCAACGGGTGGAAGTTTTACTTGTACTAGAGACAACTTAGCTTCACCTTGTAGGAGTACCCCACTAAGGATCACTAATATCTCTTCCAAAACCCAATTTTGTGCAATGAACGGTGCCGCACACGTTGGGCTTACCCCATGTTTAAGATTTTATGATTTTGACATGGAGGACCAACTGCTTTTCATTTTTCACATGAGCACCCTGTTCGATACACAAGTCCATAACACAATCCACATAGAGTCACCATTACCACATGAATTCAACGGTCTTAGCTCCACTAATTCACAAAATCAACTGGCACAGCAGAGAGCTAGATAGGAAAAATCTTATACTTCAACATCCTCCATAGTGCTACACTACCTCCCTAGGTTGCACATTACTATAGAGACTGTCAATTCAAAGCATACTGAGCAGGCAATTTGCAAGGAAACAATTACTTGGAGCCCTCAAATTTAAAAATTTGGACAGTGGACTAGGCTCCAAGCACACAAACAGCCAAACATTCACCCGCATACATAATCGAACATCCCCCCACACTTAAGCACGACATTGTCCTCAATGGAGGAAATATAAGGAGGGTAGAACGAAGTTACCAGATCAAGGGTGAATGATGATGAACGGGTCAGGCGGTGCATTCCAGAAAGAGAGAGTAATCAGAACACAAACACCACACCAAATCTCACAAAGGTTGAGTTATTGACTCTAAAATCAAAGAACAAAACTGACTCAACCGAAAAGAAATAGGGAAAGAAATGCAAACCGACTGGTTGGGTTGCCTCCCAACAAGCGCTTCTTTCACGTCGTGAACCGGACGATGGCTCCTAAGTTTCGGTCCATGCTAGAACCTCCTTGAAGTTGAGGTTCTCGTCAATGAGGTGGAGTCTCAAGTCACGAGCATGTGGTGTGGCAGGTGATGAAGGCTCATGTACTTGATGCAGATGAAGTCTCCACCCTCAAGACCTCTTCTTCTCTTCTCTCGTCTCATTGCCCCAAACTAGATATGACAGCATCGATTGGCCACCATCGCGTCCACCAAGAGGGACCGATGTTGATGTGGCCTTGGTCTGGCAAAGAGACACTGCAAATGGGTCCTTGCTAAGCAGTTCCTCAAAGTTTGGTGGGGATATCACTTGCAACTCATGGCCGGTGCAGGCCTCTTCCACCTTAACTCCGTTCTCAGCCTGGACGCCAATTGCTTCTTCAACCCCCCCTTTCTTCTTCATGTGGTATCACCCCTGAGAAATGATCAACAACTCCTCCTGCTTCACTTTCGTCATCCTCCACAACTTCTTTCTACACCCTTTCTTGCTCTTCTTCTTCTTCTTCTAGCACAGATTGGAGAGCAAGTCGCCATGTAATTTCTTCAATGAATCATCTTGCATCTCCTTGCTCGGGCCCAGCATGTTAGAGCAGAAATAAGGAATTGTGTGATCTGCAACCAGAGGACTTTCCTGATCATGATTATCATGGGAGTTCTCTGTGATAACTTCTGTATGCTCCTCAACATCCCCATAGCCTTTGTCATCCTCCACCTCTTCTAGCGTGGTAGCAGAAAGGTGATCTTGAGCAAGATGTGAGCAAACTTGCTCCACCCACTCTGTTTGCTTCGCTGAGCGCTGAACAGTCTCCTCCATATCATGGAGAAATGAGGGATCGGAAGCAGCGAGGGCTTTGATTTGAAGATCCATCTTGGAGCATGATCTCGTAGTGTCTCGAGCAAACTGCTCCACGAGAAGCCTTAATTGTTTGTTCGGATCTTCCAGTGAAGTGTAGCATGGCTCTGCCGAGTGGCCCGTGAAGGCTGTGGCTAACTCAAGATCTGATGGCCCTTCTTGTTGTGGGAGGAATTCTTCTTGATAAGGAGATTGTTCTTGATATGCCCAGGGGTCTGATTGTTCTCCGTAGTAAGGGGGTTGGTACTGGAACCCGAATCCATAGTCTTCTCCTCCTTGATTGCTCCAGGGAGTCTCGGGGTAATACCACTCGGGTGGTGGTGGATACCCCCACTGGTTGGAGAAGCCATGCGGATCCATGATTCAGATCTGCACCAACAAAAACAAAAAACACCCAAGTGGGTGGAAAAGAAAAGAAAAAGCTAAAGTAACAAACTTCTGCCTTTCCTAATAATCTAGAAAGTCCCCGACAACGGCGCCAAAAACTTGATGCTCTAAAACACAACACCTAACAATGGCCAAGTGTAACCAATGGAAGGGACTGCAGTATAGTGGCTCAAGTGATAAATATCGAATCCACGGGTCTCTAGAGTTACTATTACTCAGCTTCAGTTTATTATCTAGCAAACTAGATTAAGGATTGATTAACTAAACTACTCTGCTAACTAAACTAAGTAAAACTACTAATTACAGTTTGGGAACTCACTTAGGTATGATTCCCCCTAGCTCCTCAATTAGGTCCAAGTTGTAATTCCTTTTGGTTGTTTTACTGTTGATTAAACTGCAGGAAGATCCGACAGTAGCTTGGAATCTCTTAAGCTGACCAAGCCCTCTCAGTCTAACTATCCGGCAGACGACTAGTCTTCACCGGGATAGAAAGCTGAAGCAATAAGCACAGAAATCCACTACTGGAATTGGATTCCAGTACAAAGCAGTAAACTGGCTAGCTCTCGTATAGCCAATCTCCTACTACCGAATGATGAGACTCTAGCAACCTAATCAGATTCTATCTATCTCAGATTGCAGCAGGAATCATGAAAAGTTGATCAGACTTCAATCGACTCAATAAACATGCATCATTCGATTATAATCAAACAATATAGCATCCAAAACTTCATACAAGAAAGATCCTAACTCATGGAACTAGGGTTCCTCAAAACCTAAGTGAAGGGAAGTTACTCCATAGAGAAGAGAGAGACTGCAGAAATCTGATCTAGATCTTCAATCTCCATCTCCAAGCTTGATTCCCGAGCTCCAATGGCGAAGAAATCCTCCAAAATAGCTCCAAGAATGTTCCCAAGTCGCTCTCTCTCTCTAGGGTTCGTCCCTTGGGTGTTTGGGGTCCAAAACCCAGCTCTCCCTTTCCTTTGGCTCGAATCTGCCTCAAAACCCCGATTCTGGGCGAATTACGGGCTGAATTACGGTCGTAATTCTTCCATGCCCGTATTTTGCCCAAAACACTCGTTTTGGTTAAGTTTCAGCGCACCCAAAGCTCCTCTCGGCAGTGAAAATACGGGCATGGGAGGGGAAATTACGGTCGTAATTCTCCTGCCCGTAATTCTTCCTCCGCTCCTGTTCAAAGCTTCGTTTCTCCCTCGTTCGGACTCCAAATCAGTCGCCGTTTGAACCCAGACGTTCGTAGTCTCGTCCTCTTTCTTTTCATAACAAACTTCCATGATAATTTGTCCATTATATGAGGTAGAAATCCATTATTCCTCAGGTCATGCTCGTGTTTCTTCTCCCGAATTGCCAAATGATCTCCGATTGACTTGAAACTTGCGCCTACGCTTCACTTCATGTGCTAGGGCCTGAAATGTGACAAAGGAACACAACCTAGTGTAAAATAGGCCAAAGAAGCGATAATGCAAGCTTAAACGATCAAGAAACAAAGGGGAAAACATGTGCAAATATCGAGTCATCAGTCATCCAAGCCTGCCGAGGAATGAGCACCCATATACCATTTGCTTAAAGAGAGTCCATCTCCATTCTCGTGGAGGAATTCCATCGTGGATCACCTACCGCATGAGAAAAATGAGACAGAACAAAGATAGGTTTGGTAGAAAACCCCACAAAATCCTGCATCCGTATTGGTGGTTAGCCTAGTGTAGCTTGAGTGGAACGTCGAAGAGGGAGCTATGGTGGAATAGGCGGCGATGAATCTCCATCTAAAGAGGGACTGGAAGAGTCATCGGAGGAGGACCCATGCGAAGTCCCTGATGTCGATCCACTAGAGGAGGAGGAAGAAGCTGGCGGCGTTAAAGACCTTTCTGCGATGGTGGAGTGCGATGCCATAGGGGAATGAGGATCGACCGAGTTACCTGAGGAGGAAGTAGTGGTAGTGGACGTTGATGATAGATACAGTGAGGTGGGAACTTTAAAAGCAGGCCACAAAGTGAGAAACTCCAAAGCCCGTGGAGTACTAGCTTCGGTAGGTTCCATGTGATAATACATCTGCTTCTCCAAAAATTTCACGTGATATGCTATTCGCCTTCGCCGGCCAACCGGATCATAGCACATATAGCCTTAATAGTTTTGCTGAGAAACACCAGGACAGGACTGCTGTGGCAAATCCTTCTGTCTTAAAAACATTTAGAAGCTCATTCACCACAAACTCACCACCAGGATCGGACCGAAGAGTCTTAATAGTTTTACCAAACTATGTCTTGAATCTTGATCATCTGAATAAACTCATGAGCTATACCTGTCAACTTAGATTTCTGCTATAGAAAATACACCCACGCGAATCGAGAATGATTATCAATAAACAGAATAAGATAGTGATACCCCATTCGTGATAGAACTGGAGATCGCACCCAAAGATCTGTATGGAAGAGATCAAAAGGTGCATCATATATTGTATCACTAGTGGAGAATGGCGTTTGAGACGCCTTTGCTTCAACACAACTCAAACAAACCGAATCGTCATCTAATTTTGAACAATCCAATTTATCTGGTAATAAATCATTTTTAAACATGCCACAAATCCCACAAAGAATTCCCAACCGAAACATCTGTGCTAAAAACTCAACCACTACTACCACTGGACACATTTAACCCATGACCCAAAACCCCAATTCTGTGTACTGAAGCTACCCCAGCAGCTGATGCCCGAATTTTCTCCTCGACACCGGAATCACACGAGAACCTCCGCCGACCTGAAGACTCCTGCTCCTCCCCAAGGCCGTGCAGCTCGTCAAAGACAAAAGTGTGACCAACCTTGCTTCCCCAGTCGATCACCCTACCAGTCGTTCGATCCTGCACAACACAACCATCAGAATCAAAAGAGACGCTACAATCATCATCCGTCAACTGCCCCTGTTATAAACGTGCTGCTACGGATCGGGAAATCATCGGAATCGAGAAAGCAATAATACGAAAGCGAGAATAAAAAACACGACACACGATTTATGTGGTTCACTAACACGATGTGTGTTAGCTAGTCCACGGGCGAGAGAGAGCCAGTTTCACTATATCGAGGAGATTACCAATTATAGAGGAGATGAGAAGTATTTATACTTCTCCATGTGGGTCTAAACCTAATCCAATATGGTAAAGGAAAATGGTTACGGACCAGGCCCAGAACCCAAACCCAAATAACATTGAGCCCAACGCCCCCGCTCTCCCACCTATTCCAGTCGTAGCGGCTGATAGTCTGATTCAAGTCACATCAACGAATCTCCACCTTGACTTGAATCCTCTTCCTCTGAAATCTCTGATGTACTATGCTCCTTCTCTCTCTCTCTCTCTCTCTCTCTCTCTCTCTCTCTCTCTCTCTCTCTCTCTCCCGCCATCAATGGCCCATAGGCCGGAGTCACCCACTCAAGACATTCAGCAAGTCCAACTAGTGTGGAACTTGCCATGTGGGACCAGCTTCGTCAACATATCAGTAGTATTATCCGCGGTGCCAACCTTCTTCACCTTAATCCTCTTCTCTGTCCGCAAGAAATGATACCTCACATCGATGTGCTTAGTCCTCTCATGATGGACTTGATCCTTGGACAAGCATATTGCACTCAAACTGTCGCAATACACCACTGCCTGATCATGATGTAGACCCAGATCACCAACCAGTCCCTTCAACCATATTCCCTCCTTAGAAGCTTCTGTCAATGCCATATACTCTCCTTTAGTAGTAGACAATGTCACCGCCGACTGCAAAGTTGCCTTCCAGCTCACTACAGAACTCCCAAGAGTGAACACATAACCGGTCATCGATCTCCTCGAGTCAACATCTCTAGCATAGTTCGAGTCTGAATACCCAGACACCAAGCACTCTGTATCACTTCCGAAGCTAATCCCCACATCAGGTGTACCCTTAAGGTTCCGAAAGATCATATTCACAGCCTGCCAATTCTCCTTCCCAGGTTGTATCATGAACCTGCTGACAACACTAACAACATGTGCAAGATCAGGTCTAGTGCAAACCATAGCGTACATCAAGCTACCTATTGCACTAGCATATCGGACTCTTGACATGTACTCCTTCTCGGCCTCTAACTTAGGTGCATAAGCTGAGGATATATGAACATTTGAAGCACTAAGAGTATTTAAGGGCTTTGAGGAAGACATGCCAAACCTCGACAGTATCTTCTAGATGTAGCTCTTCTGTGACAAGAAAAGCTTCTTCTTCGACCTGTCCCTATAAATCTCCATACCCAAGATCTTCTGAGCAGCTCCCAAATCCTTCATCTCAAACTCAACACCATGAAGCCCCTTTAACTTCTTGATATCAAACTTTGACCTCGCAGCTATGAGCATATCATCCACATACAAAACAAGATAGATCATCGAACCATCCTCCACCTTACTGTGATACACACAACAATCATATGAGCATTTGCTATAGCCCAGATCAAGCATGTAGCTGTCAAATATCTTGTAACACTACCTCGGAGACTGCTTAAGTACATACAAGGACTTCTTCAGCTTACAAACATAGTCTTCTTTTCCTGGAACCTGCAATCCTTCTTGCTGAGTCATATAAATTTATTCCTCCAACTCTCCATGTAGGAAAGTTGTCTTCACGTGTAGCTGCTCGAGCTCCAAGTCATAATGTGCCACTATTGCTAGTAGCACCTGATCGAAGTATGTCTAACCACTAGTGAGAAAATCTCATTGTAGTCAACTCCTTCCCTCTGCCAGAAGCCTCGTGCAACCACCCAAGCTTTAAATTTCATGCCCTCTTCAGAAGTGATTCCTTCCTTCTTCTTGTAGATCCACTTGTTTGTAAAAATCTTCCTTACCAGTGGTCGTTTGACTAGCTCCCAAGTCTGATTCCTGTCATGGGATTCCATCTCATCTCCCAATGCGACAAGCCACTAATCAGCTTCGCCACATGAAACGACTTCTCTATAGGACTGTGGTTCACCTGCATCCACTTCTTCAGCAACTTGAAATGAATATGCCACCATGTCCTCGGAGCCATACCTCTGTGGAGGTACTCCTGCAGTTGCTCTCTTTGATCTACCAAAAGCTATAGACTGTTGAGCTCCTGCACTGAACTCTGAAGTTTCTGGCTCTGCAGAAACATCCTCATGTTGATCTTCTCCACCTTGGTGCTCAAACTCACTCTCATTGAGAGTTTGCAGCTCCACCTGCTTATCAACATTCCTGCTTTCTTCAACAACAATAACCTTCAACATGGGGTTAAACATATACTTCTCATCAAATATCACATTTCTACGGAGTATAAATTGATGCTCAGAAGGTTTCCAGACTCGAAATCCCTTAACTTCATCTCTGTAATCCATAAATACACCCTTCTTTGCCCGTGGGTTCAGTTTACCCTCATCCACATGATAATAAACATGACACCCAAAAACTTTCAGTGAAGAGTACTAAGCATGCTTACCATACCACACTTTATAAGGAGTCTTAAACTCGATACCTGTGTGAGGTCCACGATTGATCAGGAAGCATGCCATGTTTACTGCTTTTGCCCAGAATCTTCTCTATAGTCCAGCATTAGAGAGCATGCACCGTGCTCTCTCCAACAATGTCTGGTTCATCCTTTCTACAATGTCATTCTGCAGGGGTGTATCTCTAACTGTCCGATGATAGGCAATCCCTTCATCTTTGCAGAATTCGTTGAACACAAAATTACAGAACTCCAGACCATTGTCCTTTTGCAGCTTCTTGATATTCATCCTGGTCTTATTCTCCATCAATGTCTTCCACTGCTTGAACTTCGTGAAAGCCTCACTTTTCTGCTTCATCATGAAAATCTAAGCGAATCTCGAATAATCATCAATAATAGACAGAAAATACTTGCTTCCTCCAATGGATTCAACTCGTGAAGGACCCCAACAATCGGAGTGGGGGTAATCCAATATCCCCTTCGTCCGATGGATACCCTTCTTGGGAAACTTTTTGCGATGTTGCTTCCCAAACACACAATGCTCACAGAACTCCAAATTTTGCACCTTGTGCCCGCAAAGAAGATCCCTCTTCGATAGAACTTGCATCCCCCTTTCACTCATATGCCCAGTCTCATGTGGCAGAGAGTGGTCATATCTTCATGATGAACCCGACACTATGCAACTGCACCAGAACCTGACAACACATTTCCTTGTAATGCATACAAGGTACCACGTTTCACGCCTTTCAGTACCTTCCTCGAACCCTTGCAGACATACACAACTCCATATTTTCCTTTGAAACTGAAGCCCATACTGTCGAGTAGACTTAAGGAGATCAGGTTCTTTGTCATTTGTGGAATATGTCTAACATCATTCACGGTACATAACGAACCATCATGTGCCCAAACCTTTATGGAACCGATTCCAACAACCTTGCAGACAACTCCATTTTCCATGACCATGTTACCACCATCTATCTGCTCGTAGGTTGTGAAACAATCCCTGTTCGGAGACATATGGTATGAGGCTGCAGCATTCAGAAACCACACATCCCCATGATGTGCCTTCTCATCTACAGTTAAGGCAAGATCGTCTTCAGAACTGTTGTCCACTTCTGCCACAGCAACTGAACCTTGTTTCTTCTGTTGCCCTCTTCTCCTGGGACAGTTGTACTTCCAATGCCCCACTTCCTTATAGTTGTGACAAGCATCACCTGACTATGGACCGAGACACTTGGAATTCTTGTTTGAATTCTCTTTACCAGATTTATTCTTTCCCTTTCCACCTGTAACAGCCAAACCCGATGCCTCGCCACCTGTACCAGATCCGGATGCCTTATCCCTAATCTCTCTCGTATGAAGAGCTGTTCTGACATCCTCCAACGACACGCTTTCTTTACCGGCAATAATAGAATCAACGAAATTCTCATATGAACTCGGCAAAGAAACCAATAGGATTAGGGCAGCATCCTCGTCATCAACTTGAACATCTATATTACGCAGATCCAACAAAATAGAGTTAAGTTGTTCGAGATGTTCCCTTAAGGGCGTACCTTTTTGCATCCTCAAGCTGAACAACCGT